GCAGGAGCTGCAGCGAAGAACGAAATGGAATACGACAGATCAACGCGTCGAGTTAGGCAATTTGGTTTTTCTTATTGAAGAAGGAGTACCGCCTTTGAGGTGGTCACGAGGGCGAGTAATCAAACTGCATCCCGGACAAGACAGTGAAATTCGAGTAGTCCCAGTAAAAACCTTTGAAGGTGTCTTCACAAGGAGCGTCAAAAGGCTGTGTCTACTGCCAATTGACGATTAAGATTGTACTCACGACGTATATTAAATCATTATATTAAAGTATTTTTTTTGGTTTTGAAAGCGCACCTTTCAAGGAGGGCCAGAATATGTTAGTAATCATAGAGCATTTTGATATTTATGTTGGTAATATTGGAAAACTGATCCAACTGCGCCATCTGTGGCGAGTGTCTTTTGTTCCGAGTTAAGATTGAGCTCAGTCGTCAAGTACATTTCAATATAAGAACATCTAGCAATAAAGCAATATATTAAGCAAAAGGCAGTTTTTAATTTCATTTCAAGACATCATCATTAACAATACACTTACTTTATATATTTGATTACATCTCTAAAATACATTCCCCATAACTCAAGAATACAGTTTTTCAGGTACAAAATCTATATAAGTACAATTATTTAAATATTGTCCAACCCTCGCAACAGGGACATAACTTATTGATTATCAAATAGGTATTTAAATAATTTCTAAAAGATTAATTTGTAAACGTATAATAAAAGCCGGAATAAAAGAAAAGATTAAAGAAATATAAGTTATATACAAATTCTAACTTACTGCCTCTATGCTCTTCTCACATTATGTTCACGAAGCGGGGGAAATTCGGAGTGGACCACTATTTTTGACGCCAGTTTACACAAAAATACTTATATTTTCAAAAGATTGAAACTGGCCTTATTTGAAGATCAATTTTTGGTGAACGCATTTCATTTTAAAAAATATCTTCCCAATTGTAGTTGTAGGAAGAGGCCGAAGTTTTTAAAATTTGTTTCTATTTTTGAAAAATTCGGGACTTGAATGAAAACGAGATTTGCACCATCCTCTAAAGAGTCCTATACGCTCTCCAAGGTCAAAATTCAATCAAAAATTTGTTGATGTTTTTCTAAAACAATTATTTAAACAAAAATTTAAATTGCATACAACATTTCACACAAAGTTAAGCAAACAGTACACGAATTTTCTCAAAATTTTATATGACCTTATGGCAAAATCTATCTTTAAGGAACAGATTTCATTCAGAGAAAATAACATCTATCTTGATTATTTTAGTTGCAGGAAGACTCCGAAAAAGTTTTGAATTTTCGCATTTTCAAAAAATCACGAATTTCAACAAATATAAGATCTGCTCATTTCTGTTAAGCGTCTATTACTCTACAAGACAACGAAATTTAATCAAACAATTGGAGCCATTTTTTGAAAATTTTGAATATATCCAAAGATCTCCAAGTAAAGTGTCCCTGAAGATTAAAATATCGGTTTTAAATTCAAGGGACCGCGTCGTAAGCCAGATAAATTGGGGAATATCAATTTTGGATGAAATAGGCTGAACGGTTTATGCGCTAGCGTTGTGCACAGACGGACGGACAAACAGACGTTTTGCCGTCAATCGAATTTTCAGTACCAAGGACCCACATGGATCGGATCCACGATGCGACGTGCACAATGGACACTACGTTTTTCTAAATGTAGCAATTAGATTTATCCACTTTATTGTTACCAGGACACTGCAATGAGAGTTTTTCTGCCGAAAATTTTCCGCATTTTTCCACATTACATAACTTTCTCTCTTCTGCCTAAGCGGTTGCGAAAAAGTAAAGTGAGTAGTTTTTAAAATAAAAAAAGTGCCTTCTATTAACATATTAATATGGTAAAATACAAAAAGTTATCAAGTCAGGTATTTTGTTGAAAATATCTTGTTCACAAAATATTACGTTAACTTTTTAACATTATACTATTAAAAAGTAGTTATCTGGTGACAACATATCGAAAGAATTTTAACTTCCAAACAATAAATTCAGATATACACGAGATATTGAAAAAAATTCCCAAAAAGCAATTTTTGAGGAAACCGTGCACTCTCTAAATATTGTTAAAAACACGTATTATTGTGGTATTTTTTTTCTTATGGAATACTTGATTTCCATAGGCCAGCCGGTGGGAGTGGGGGGATTTCGACACCCTAAGATACTTTTCGACACCCTAATATATATACAGAGTGACTCGGGTAACTTTAGCATCTCCTGTAATTTTTGAACGGTCGCAGTTATTGCAATGCAGTTTTCACGGAAGTGTACGAGGGAATGGGACCACTATTGATGTATCCTTTCTGTTTTATCACTAGCATATTACGAGATATTAAGATAACTTTCTTATTTTTTTAATACAACTCTACTTATTTTTAGTCTATCACGATGAAATAAAAAGACAAATCCAATGATGTACATATTTTCATATGCTAGATAAACATTTTTTGAATAATTTTAATTTGTTGCCATTTGTGTGGAGTCGGAATGGCCTATCTTGCCCATGTTAATGTAAGGAACATTTTCTCAGAAACTATTTAATTTACAGACTTTAAATGTTATGTGAGAGTAGATTCATTACTTACAAGTAATTTAACAAAGTAGTTTTTAAAAAATATTACTATTTTTTAATATAAATTTTTGTCCATTGTAATCAGTTTTGTTCTTAAAAATTGATACATTTATAGGAATATTGTCTAAAGTATTTAATTTTTTTTAAATTCGCCCCGTTGAAGTACATAAATTGATGTCCTACATGCTCTGTTAATATTTGAGCATCCTCCTATTAGTACTTTTTGAGAAAATGTACCTTAAAGACGCAAATTCTTAACTTACGAGAAACGGCTGAAGTTTTCAGTGCTTTTCTAGTCCGTGTGATGCACAAACACCAACGAGCTAGAATATACTATAATATAATATAGAATAATATAGGTGGCTGTCCCTGTAGTTTCAGCGCTCGTGGTGGAGGCTCGCCGAACTAGTGGCCGCCATGTTTTTTGAAGTCAAAACCTACGAGGGACGGTATAACCAGGGTGTAACCGTCCGTAACCATCGCTAAACGTAATCGTACTTCCTAGATAGTACAGGCAGTCATGTCACTGCCCTGAGGAAGCCTGCGACATGCCAGGCGAAACGTCGGCCTCCCAGCCAAAGACACGCCGTCTCCCGGATAGCCGAGAATTTAAGAAAAGAAGGTCATTAAAAAAAGCTCGTAAAACAACTAATTCGCAAAATGAGACTATGACAGTCAAAATGAAAGAATGGATTAAAAATTGATTTCCAACATACCTGAGAATAAGTATGTCAATTATGAAATGTTTATAAAATATTAGAAGCCTGTACACAAAGTGTGTCAATACCTACAGTCGCAAATATCGTGCCGATTTTATTTTTAGTCTAGTCAGTAGGTAATGAAAAACGAACGAGTGTTACCTGGACAAAGGTCATAAAAACTATTCTTTAGATTGTTAGGTTGTATGTACTTAAGCCCATGCTTTCGACCTCCCAGACTCGGGGCACGTGGGTCCAAATATTTCGTACATTTAATTTCATTATAAATTAGTACCTTAGGCACCTTATAACACTATCGCTAAGGTCGTCGTAACATTTGTACTTTGAAATATTTTTAAAATGAAAAGGGAGTAACGATGTGTATCTGACAGAATAGTGCTACTTTAAACTAAATTTATGAACGAGATACGCAGTCAGATCCTAAACAGACCCAAAGATAACAAGTATAATTGTAAATAACAATCGTGATATGAAACACAAATGTCGTCAACCTCATAACACAGCCAAAAACTTACTAATTCTCTAGGAATCGCTCACGCGTGGACGCCTACGCCTATGCTAGATCCAGCAGACGTTGCCATCCAGCACTTTCCCGCGAAACGTTGTGACGTCATTCTGAACAGCTCTATTGGCTTTGAAGCTCTTTCGTTCTGTGCACAATAGCGCCCCAAGCGGTCGTTTACTTCACTGCGACATAGAGCAAATATAAATTAACTGTTTCACATAACCGTTGGCCGGTACGAATTCGCCCATGATTTGAAATTCTGTAAGCTCTTCAATGATGCTTTAAGGAGATTCGTACGTATATTATATTGTATTTTTGCTGGAATATACAGATCAATATTTAGAAATGTGATTAGCGAATTAGATTAAATTAGTCATTGTTTAACAGTGTGAATGTCTCAAAACAACGTATGTGATCGAATGGTAAGACTTTGAACGACAATTCATCTTTATGACAGTTTGTAACTTGAAGGCAAGAAACATGGAATGTTCTACAGTGGATTGTGCAGATTATACAGACGAGTCCGATCCCTTTACATTTCCTCAAGTGAAGCCTTTGTACTCGAAACTATTGAATAGAGCTAACAGGTACGTAGTTCGTTCTGCCAAATCTGGCCAAAATATGTTTTTCTAACATTAAACTTTACAAGGGGTACTTAAATTTCGAATTTTAAGTAAAAGTAAGTAATGGAACTGCCAAGGTTATTTGTAAATCTTCAAGGATACCAAAATTAATAATTAAATCTTAAAATACAGAATCTCTTTCCTACTGTTATATTAAGAAGTATTTTAGTTATCTTTCATGTGTGTGTGTAGAATAGAATTCTACACATACACATGAATGTGTGTGTGTAGATTAGAATAGAAGTTTTCTTCTATGGTATATGACTGGGACGACTTAGTGTTTACTCACGTTCGTTAATTATTCAAGATGTGGATAAATTACTTTTGTATTTTTAAGCATGACAATGGAAGCATGGAACGTAATCTGTTGGAATATTAAGATAAGTGCTGAATATTGTTGACAGGGAGGACTACTGAAAAGTATAGTTCTGTTAGTGAAAGAATCTTCAAAATTGCTATTTTGTAGTAAGTTTTATGAGTATACATAACAAGGCAGGTTCACTGATATTATTCAGGCAATGCATGTAATTAAAACCATGTGATTAAGTGTGCCATCATTTTATATTATTATGCATTGTATATTTATGTAAATTAACTAAAACTAATATAAAATTATTTGAAATGCATTACAACAAGATTAAAAATTAAATAAAACAATTGATTATACCACTGTTCATTGCAAATGTCAATGATCAGCTTGACAACTAGATTAGTAATTAATGAACAGATATCTAAAGATTGAGGCTGACTGCTGTGTGGAAGCTTGCAGTGTTCTGTATCCCTTAACCTTTCAAGGACGAGAATTATTTTTCATCAAAAATGTTTAATCTCTTTACTTCTTTTAATCTAACTACTTCAGTTTAAGCCCCTTAAATGTTTGAAAAATTATTCCAGATTATCAGTGAAGAGTGGGAGGGTGTGATTCGTTGGTCACAATCGTTCTTTGGGGTGATAAGGATATAAGGTGATAATTGGTGATGTACATTATTTTGTATTATTGTACACGGTACATATACTGTAATTGTATATGCAACTCTATAAATATTATTATCATGATCCTTTATGCAGAAACGTCAACATTGTGGGCTGGATCAGCAGCTTTGCCCTGGTCTGTTACGCAATAGCAACAAAGGCATGCGATATGAATCACGAAATCCAGTGTGAAAAAAAAGTGACACTAAAATAATAATTCATTTGAAATATGGAATATATTCATTTACTTCTCTTAATTATCTTATTACATCAAAGCTTTACCCTTTTACATTTATTATCGAAAACTCTTTTAAAAGTTTTTTGAGATATCGACTTTACATACAAAGATATTGAATCTTTTAGTTCCTCAATGGTCTTGGGACAAGTTTTTCAGACATATCCTTTCACTTTTCCCTTGAAGAAGAAATCAGGAGGTATGAGTTGTGGTGATCTGGTGGCCACAGCCCTTTTGAAATTTTTGTGGTTCATGAACACTAACATTTCTTTCACATTTGTATTTGTTAACATCAAAATGTACTCTTGAACACACTTACGCCTTGCAGGAACAAGACAAAGAACAAGCATTTGAATATTTATAATCTAACTACGATAATCTTAGTGTAGAACTCAAAAACAAAAAAAGAGATATTGAAATTTGAATTGGGAACCGCTCTTTTTACTGCAACACTATTAGATCCAAAAGTATGAAAGAGCTCAATCAATGGTGATTCCTAACGTTATCAGTAAAAATATTTATAATTTCTGAATCAGTGGTTATATTACAACGATAAATCTAATAATGTAACAATTTTTTTATAAACAAATTAAATAGAAATTGCTTATAAGATGGGTTACTGATGATGGTTATATGGAATAATAAAGCATAAAAAAATGATGGATCATTCACTCGAGACTATCTTTTCAGTAGCTTTTCATTTGTGAATAAGGGGCTTTTTATATATTTTACTTCAATGTATTGTACATGTTAACCTTAGTTTTCATAGTGGTGTGTTTTAATACAAATGAGATGTTGAAGATTCAGTGAATTATAGGTTTTTGTGAGGAAGTTTTCAACATCATTAGCGTTGTTGTGTGTGTGTGGTTGTTTTTTGTGAGGTACTTAAAGTTATTAATTTTTTAATGGATGGCACATCATTTGACATTTTGAAATATATAAGAATTTTTTTTGAAACGTAATCTTTATTATAGTTGTTATTGATAAAATCAATCTTTTCGATGCAAGTAAAATTTACTTTCATATTAGTTTAAATATACCATTGAATAAGACCGGGTTAGAAAATTATATCATATGTTAAGATAAAATTGTATGAACAGATTGAGAGTTGTTTCACTTTCCAAATATTTGTTGCTTATTTTATGTACAATTCAGCCCTCTTCTTTCTGTTTGCATGTAGGTCTACGAGGAGGCCACCGCTAAGGCCATTCCAATTCATTGAGGAGTCCCAGACTGATGTGCCAGTGCAGACTGAAGATCGAGCAGAAGGCCAAGAGTGTGAAGACGATTCCTTTTCAATCAATTCTCTTTCAGGAGACCTGAAGCAACATGTCAGCATTGAGTCTCGCCCTCGATCAGGGCTCAGAAACTCTGTTAATGAAAGTTCTCATTTTAATGTAATGACACCAATTCCTACAAAACTTCAAGCTTATTCTTCTGTACAGCGTAGTGTCTTGGTGAAAAGAGTTCTAAAAACTCCTGGTTCCAAATCCAATGAAAATAGTTCTTCAAAAGATTTAAAACTTTTACAATGCCCTGTTGATGTTGAAACTCTTCCAAAAGTTACTGAAGATAAACTGTCTGTGGGGAACAGGAGTAATAGGGGTGGGAGAGTACTGAAAGATATTTTGAATTATGATCTTAGTGGTGAGAAATCTGTTGATGCTATGAAGACAATACGTGATTCCAAAGGCATAAATACTGAAAAGAAAGATGTTTTTATAATGCCATCAATTGCATATCGGAAAGAGACTGGTGTTCCTGAGTTCTCCAGAAAATCTCCAAAAGCTTTCACCAGAATGACTCCAGGAATTGAAATGGATAAAAACAGAAGAAACAATGCAATGAAGTTGCAGTATAGGAATGGAGATGTAGAATATCCTGAGATACCCAAGCAAGTTATTTCCAGAGAAACAGAAAATGAAAAACAAGAAATGATAAATCATAACCCAAGGTAGCCAAGCTTTGTTGTGCATCTCTTATGCATTGTCAAGTAATATTTTGGTTCCTTATCTAACAGTTTTGTTCTTGCAGCATATTCAACAGGACGCAGCCTTCTGTATTGTCAATAAATAATGTACAGTATACGATTCTCAGCAAATTGGGCCAGGGTGGATCTAGCCAGGTTTATCAGGTATGTGAATTTTCAATCTAGATATAAATACAGATCTCTTCAAACATAGCAATAATCAACATTTTTTCACAGGTTTTGGATAGTAAAACTTCATCCCTCTTAGCTGTGAAATGTGTAAATCTTGTCGAAGCTGATGAAGCCACTGCAATGGGTTACTTAAAAGAAATAGAGATGCTTTCAAAACTTCAAAGTAGTAATCGTGTAATCAAATTGTTGGATCAGTAAGTCATTGTACCACCATTTTATTTTATATGCCCAATTATAATGCAGACTAATGTAACATCCCTTTCATTTCCAGCCAGTATTTAAAGCAACAACAGGTACTTTATGTGGTTATGGAGAAGGGAGATACTGACCTATCTACACTACTCAAGCTAATGACAAAATCAGGAGATGTTTCTCTCCCAATGATTATATATTATTGGACAGAGATGCTTCATGCTGTTAAGCAAATACATGACCATGGTAGATTGTACATTGCTTTTTTTTTTTTTCCAACCATTTAGACTTAGCTGTTATAGAGAATTAACAAATTGTATTGTCTGTGAATTTTAGGCATTGTACATGCAGATTTGAAGCCTGCCAACTTTTTATTGGTGTGTGGTCGTCTCAAACTCATAGACTTTGGTATTGCTTCTGCCATTCAAACTGATGCAACTAGTGTTATTAAGAGTACCATGCATGGGACATGTAATTATATGAGCCCTGAAGCAATTCAAGATCCAGGTGATTCATCTAGGACAAAGGTATTCTTATTTAATTACTGATCAATCAACTGGCATTTTTGAACAATATAACAAGTTTTACGTGAACAATATTTGTTTCCAGCTTTTTGTACTGTAAAACTTTGATTATATGGGGTAATGGAGGGAAGGAGCTGCATGGATAAATGAAAATCATGGTTAATTGAGACTTCTGATTTATGACTTACATATGCCAGTACAATGACACATAATTATATCAGGTCGTGATATACAAACATAGAATTAAGTATTTGTTTTGAGCTGTTAAAAAAAATAATTTTCATTATTTCAGTTCTAATTTTTGAAATTCATAAATGACACGGAAGTCAGTTTTCCTGTTCACAGAAATTCAGGAACAAATAAACTTTTTCCATTGCTTGACTTACTTGAATTTTTGGACTTAAGTGCTAAAAACATTCTCACTCAGTCTTCTGAATTGATGGAGATGCAGTAGTACTTGCACTGCCATAATGAATAGCTATGTCACTCATACTTTTTATTTATTAATGGGATAAACCCACATATAAGGAATTAATATTTTAAAAAATGAAATAAAAATCAATCAAATAAAATTACAATAATAAAGTAATAGAATTCATAAAACTTGCAGTAAGAAGTAAAAAAAAGTAAAGAAACCTTTTGAATTCAAAATTAATTTTAGAATCTTCCTGAATTTAACAAGATTGGTATCAGGGAAGTAAATTTTTAATCTCTCTTAATTACCGTTTTGGTAGCCAACCTACAGTATAGTCTTTATCAACATTAGTGAAATTTGGAATTGACTTGGTCAGATCAAGACATTAAAATATTTTCTTTACAATCAGAGCAGTGTTCTGAGATTTTTACCCCTACCCCATTTTTAAGCCTTTCATACATTCCAATTCGTTTTCCCAAGTGTCACTCACTGTGAAAATTGGATTTTTTATTGATTTTTTTTTTTTATCTCATTTCATACAGGAAATTGAGACCTTGGTCCATTTGATGTATTAAGGAAGTCACATTAGGTAGGAGACAAAAATTTGAGCATCCTCTGTTTTCAGAGTAGAGTCTACAGGGTATGTAGGGGCATTATCAAGCAGAAAAACAACTCTTTCAAGTATCCCTTTCTCATCCTGGAATTTCGTTACACACAATATGAAAACTGGAAAAAATATTGAAAATAACTTGGTTCATCCAAGCTTTTTTGTGGTTATAAAAATCACAAGCAAAACATCTTATTTCTGTTTCTCTTAATCTGGGTTTCTTAGCTCTTATGTTTACAGTTTCTTTGATTTTGTATGTTCAAGTTGCATTTGAACATGTCATAATGGTTGGTCGTTCATTGCTAGAATGTTAGGAGCAATTGAATGTGCAGCAAGTGATTTCAAGGGTAGCATTTGTCACAATAGACACGACTTATCTTTGTTGTACACTTTGTCGATGATTCATTGTTAAAAACAATTAATTTAATTACTCATTGAACAACATTGCAGCGATCTAGTCTCCACTCAGAGATTTGCCTCAGATGTCTTGTTGTCTTATCCCGTGTTGAAACTAAGTATCCAGCTGGTGAAGCATTAAATGTTTGCTCAGTTTTTCCTTGTCGAAGTGAGTCGGTCCTTGTCCTGACTAGGGAATGCAGAGACGTCTTCCATGTCTTCCTTTCTCCATTTGCAGTTCTCTTGTTCTCCATTTTGTGTGTCACCCACACTCTTATCATCCTTTTTTCTTCCTCACTGGTCATATCTATTTACTGAATGCCCATTCATGTTTGCTGAGCATGACAATGAATGTTGAAGGGAATAGGTTGACCTGGGTTTGACCAAGTACCCCAGGAGTGGCACAGCCACTGCGTGCAAAATTATTTCACTTATTCCCTCCCTATACTGTTTTTATCTGAATATATGGTATTTTCTCCCTCCCCCCTCTCTCTCACTCTCACTCTCTCTCACTCACTCTCTCTCCCACTCTCTCACTCACTCTCTCTCCCCTAAATGTCAGTCAAAAAAATATGGAGTGGTCGTGTATTCTCAGATTAAGGTAGTTATGTAGTTTTTACATTGCTATTCCATGTTACGAAACTTGTAAATGTTGACGTAACAATAAACTGCGAAGACTAAAAAAATATTGCACATATCTACAGGGCATAATTGTATTCGCATTCGTATTCTCTGCAGCCACCGCAAATTTGTTGGGTAATTCAGTTGGATATTTTTAAATGGATCTGTAAAGAGAATCTCTAACTGAATGGTATTGTATCAAATGAAACGTAACATGAAAGTGAATGCAGAGAATTTGTTACACTATGCGGGTTTGATAAGGACACAGCGAATACGAATCTGCTTTTCAAACAGAAACAGGCCATCAACATGTGTGCAACAGATAGAAAATCTGGCAACCAAAGGGAATGTTCTGAGATGACGTCTAATGAAAGACTACAAGCAGCGCAAATTTAATCTTCAAAACTTTCAAATGGGGCTTAAAATGTCAGATGATGACACACCGTGGAAGTAGAACGAAAAAGAAAGAAACATTGATACATGTGAAGATGATGAGGTTAATGAGAAAAACCATATTGCAGTAATAATAAGGAAAATAAGTTCAGCAATAAGTCTTATTCTCATCAAGGCAATTTTCTAATCAATAAGTCATTTTGAACTTTTATTTTGACTAAATAGTAAAAATTAAAAAAATTCTCAGCAGTCCTTTTCAAAATTTGGGGATTGTCTTTTATTCGAGGTTGACTAACATTTGGGTAAATATGGTAAATTACTACTCGAGCTGGAGCTTTTAAAAATAAGGTTTTGCTATTATTAATTAATTAATTAATTTCTGGAAATAATTCCCTCACTTTCTCAGCAAGTCTATTTATTTCTTGTACCACACTATAATGAGCATATTTCCAAAAAACACTAGACAAAAATTTCCCAACTTCCTCCATATAAGATGCTCCATCAGTTGATAGGTGTACAGCGAAATCTTAGTAAAAGAACACCATACAATCATTTTATTTATACTTATACTGAAATCACAATTTTAAGTAATTTATTGTAAACAGTTTTCCCAGTAAACAAAAATAATGAAAAGCATACATATCACTCATTAAAATATTCTGATGGAAGTTTGTTTTGTTTACCCCAAATACTTATGACTTGAGATCTGTCTTAGGAACATTTATATTTTTCTGAACATGTACTTTTAACTTCTCAAGACTGTTCACTACCTCTGTTTAAGACACGGTTTCAATCTTTTCTTCTTCTCCCTCCTCCCTTCTTTCCTTTGTTCCTACATCTCACAAGAATTTTCTCAAGTATCAACCTCTGGTGAAGCACTGTCTTGGAAATACAAAATTCCAGACTTTCTTTAACAATTGGCACTTGTTGCTTTCACATTCCACCTACTCCTTGCTAATATTTGTATCCTTTGCAGGATATTGATTTGGATTGGAACTTTCAATGTGAGGTAAATTAGAATGAGCTGAACCAATCATTTGCGAAAGTAGACCTTTGCATTATGAATAATTTCTTGTTCTATTCAAGAAAAAAAACAAACTAAAATAATCTTCGTGCCATTCTACTCCTCTGATAGTGCATTACTTTCGATGCCATGATCAGCATACTATACCAATTCAAATGGAATATGAAATGTCATGGGAATGTCATGCTCTTGCCACTACTTGACTTACTATCAGACTGCTTCAGGAAGTTGTTCCATTCCCTCTGTGTCTGCAAATGATTCTCTTATGGAAGAAGCACTAGTAATTACAAGATCTTCAACAATGATGTTGCTTAGAGAATACATCTGCCTCATATTTAATTCTTTTTCAACAAGTGTGTCACTGCACTCTTTCAATTTTCAGGGGACACTTGAATCGATGCTTCTTCGAGTAATTGTTGAACTGCTTTGAGTTTAAATGTTTGTTATGTGCCAACTTACCCCTTTACTTGACCATATTAGTTTCATAGAGTTCAGTGGTTATGGATTTAAGTGATCTAGGGTAAGGTGGCATTCGCAAAATATCAAAACCTTGCCCTGTCGCTAGTTTATCAATGACATACTTGTCAGAATCTACTGAATACTTTTCCTTTATTTTGAGAAACTCTGTCTTCACAAACCTTGGGTCCAAGTGTTCATCCCTTTCCAACAATCTCTCAGTAATGTCTGTTTTATGCCAGGATTTGTTAGGACGGCATACCAGTTTTGCATTGTGTATCACTTTTATTAATAAAGAAATAACATTCACAAACCAGTCTTTAAATGTTTCACCAGACATTTCATGATAATCATTGCCTTTTTGTGATTTATATATAGGTTGGCCTCTTTCAACAAGCTATCAATGTGCATAATATTACTGCTCTCCATTATCTTGCATTGTATTACTGTAACCAAAAGTAAAAGTTTCGGTTTGCAATACGTTACAATATGTCATTCAAAGTACCTTGCCATAACCTTTAAAAAAAGTGTTACAAAATACATGTTCCAGAAGATTTGGGGCAGTAGCAGATTCAGTAGAAATGAAAATATTTTTTAAAAAACAATTTTTTTTTTTTTTACTTAGTAATAGTAAAATAGATGAGTAGAGTGTTTGTAAAAGTGAAGTATCTTTACATTGTAATATAAGATATTTAAATTAGTACATGATTTTCCTGTCCATTGTACATCCATAACAATTTTACAAACACACACACATTAATTTTTACACATCAATTTAGAAAAAACAATAGTATCACTGTTTGTTCAAACTGCTTAGAAGCCAATAAAAATTGTTTTCCTGGTTAATTTTTGTTTAACACTCCTAATAGCATATTAGCGATATAAAATCCCCTTGAATCAGTGGTTTCATCAACAGTTAGATTTACAAAGTTGGCTTGAATTTTGTTTCTGTTAATTTCAATTGTCTTATGCATATATTTTCTGTATTGTGTGCGTGCGCACGCGTGGATACACACAGACTCTTCCCAACTTTAATGAAGTTCATTGAAACATTTTATTGAAGATAAGGACATTTTAACATTAATGTGGAGTAAATAAAGCCTCCTTATCATATCCAACAATGAGAAGTTATTTCAAGAATGCCATGAATCATTGTTCCCTTTGTTTGATTTAGCAATGCTGCATGAAAGATTATGTTAAATAACTCCTAATAAATAACTAAGCCTATCACTAATTGATTTAATAACTCCTGAGGTTGGTGATTTAACCAGTCAGCATAGACAGTTCAGCTCAGATGATTTTGTTTCCCACAAAAGAGAAAGCTGTTGTCACAGTGTGGCAGATAATGTCTTAAATGTGTTGGGCATTGAGTTGCCAATGACAAGTGACTGTTGGCCCTCCAAGAGTTCGGTTAGTGTTGAGGGGCAGTTCACTTTCAAGATTCTAATAACAATAATATTATTATTCCTCTAGTTCACAACTAAAGATGTTATGAGCCAGTTGAACATAATATGTACTGCAGGTTGCAACCAGCTTCTAAGGAGGAGATCTGGGGACTGTCGATGCCTCTACAATACTTTGTGCAAAATTTGGTCTGTTCCAAATAAAGCAACGTCTCCCTGGCTACAATGTTTTGTTAATACGGCATAGCAATATCTAGAAGTAAACTCATTTTTTTCTCCAAAACCCAGATAACAATATCCAGTTTGTTTGCTGTTATCATGCGATCAGGTTGAATTTGTTGGTTGTACTTTTTTCCAGCTTTTATTATTAGTGATATTATTATTATGTCATAGATAAATTAAAATATTTTTCTTGTCATATTTATTTCATTCAAGTACAAAATAAATTGGGGGAAGTAAATAAATTGTCTGGAAAACCAATGAAATTTTTTCCAGAAAAATAGAGGCCACACTGAGGAAGATAAAAAAAATAATAAAACAATATTCCCTTCTTTCCAATGGTGTTAGAGCACAGTTAAGGCCTTTTGGGACCTATTGATCATCCACTCTCTGTTTTGCCGGAGTCTTTGTCTATACTGTGTAATTTTTTCACATGAAAGCTACATTATACTGTTATTACCTTTGGACAATGATACAGAACAATAAGTTTTTGTATCCTGTATTACAATACTATGAAATTGAGAAACAACTGAATTAAACTGAGGAATTGGCTTGGGCACAAAACAATAAGTTTGCGCTTGTTGTGCACTTGTTGAATACATTTTCCAACCAAAGTGTAAAATTTGCATGAAATCTTCTATTATTTCCGAGATCTTTAATGAAGAAACAATCAAATGTGGTGTTCGGTAGATGCTTTATGTCTTATAATTTTATTCCATTTCTGGAATATTACCACATCCAGTGGTTTGATTACCAGTTGTAATAGTATATGAGTAATGACAATGTACTGAAAAACAAATGTTTGTGGAATTCAGAGGGTATGTCTTATTCACAATTCAGTTATTAAACATATTTAGTGGCATGTAATTTAAGAATATTTTTAAATGTTGTATGCTATGAGCAGTTCTCAGAATATCTTTTTGAATTAAATTTTCCTTTCTTTCTTTTTTTTAGGTGGGCTACAAGTCAGATGTATGGTCTCTTGGATGCATCTTGTACAACTTGTTGTACCGAAAAACTCCATTCCAACATATTACAAACAATATCAAAAAGTTACAAATTATAGCGACTCCAAGCCACAGGATTGAATTTCCACCAGTTGACAAGTGCCCTCCCCCTCTCATGGATGCCTTGAAATGCTGTTTAGCATATGATGCCAAAAAAAGGCCATCTGTAGCTCAACTACTTGCAATAGATTACATTTGGCCAACAAGCTACTAAAATCATTTTCTGACATTGAAGGTGGCAAAATTTGTTTGATATTATATCTTTTGTGTATGATGATTGTTTTATAATTGTAATATTTGAATGTATGGCTTTAATTTTTGTATTATATGCTGCAGTAGATTGTGTGATTATATACTTGAAATTGTGCCAGATATTTTTTTAGTCATGTTAATAGAAAATCTGGTATTAGCTTTAATGTATGACATGAGTAGATAACTATTTTGTATACATGTATCTTTTCAATAACTTTTATGGCATTTGTATATAAACTTACCCATGATTATTTAAGACTGATTTTATATATTAGAATATAAGTTCCTGGTGTGCTTTACTTGGTGTGTTCTTTTGTGAATTTGTGAATGGGACTCTTTCAACGTATGAGAAATGAGTACTAGTAGAGGGGTGTTTATCAGAACTGTGTTGCAGAACAGTTGAAGGTGAAAAAAATATCAATGATGAATATCCATGCATTGGAGATATAACCATTTGAATTTTTTGCGAACATTTCGTCTTAAAGTAGGTTATTTATTTTATTAACAAATCAAAATATAGTCACAGTAGACTTTATTAGTTCACTGGATATTGTTCTTTGCATGGTTTGCTAGTTTTGTGTAAATAATGAAGTTGATTTGAGAAAGTAAGTTTGTGGTCCTTTGAAGAAATGAAATGTGAAATATATTACTCCAAATGCTTAAAAACATCAAATAAAAACAAAGCATTTGACAAAACTTAAACAAAATTTTACTTTTGCTCTCTACACTGGAATGTTATTTTCCAATGATATTCTTCATAATGAAATCTTGTTAAAGAAAAATTTTAAAAAAAAATATTTTTTTTTGCTTTGCTAACCAGGACTGGTATATTTTGAATTTGTCATGTATCGAAGACATGACCAACGTTCATGTGAACATAGTTGATAGTTGACACTAGTTGTAAACGATGTACTTTGTTAAAATTGGCAATTAACAAAAACATTAACCTAGCATTACTTTTTTGTGAGGCTATGTGAAGGGGTGAAAAAATTACATGAATTTGTCCACCTTCAACAATTTTTTCAGGAGAATAATTTAAAGCAAGTGGAACCCAATATTGTTCTTACAAATATTGTAAAAATTGAAACTATTGGAAAATGCAAAATACTTAATGAAATTTATAATTGTTTCAATAAAAACCTGTAATTTAGAAACAAACACAAGTTTTTTTTTGTAATTACGGGTTTTATTCCAGGACTTATGGAAAATACATTTTATTTTGCACACTACAACAGTCTTATATAAAGGATTACATTGTAAAATATTTTTTGCTTTGCCAAATTATGAGAATTAATTCATTTTCCTTTCAAATCATGTTGCTTAATTGTTGATGGAAGCTTTATTCTACAATTGGGCTGATGTTGGCTGGTGGCAGAAAATAAACATTACTATTATACTATTTACAAATACATTACATACAATAGCAATTACAAATAAACTACATACAATTAAAAATTTAAAAAAATTCTTTGTCACTACCTAGCACTTGCCGATCGCATTTACATATATATCAGTGGCTGCTCTTGCCCTCAAAGAATAATTGCATTAGGGGTAAAACTGATGCTAAGACTAGTATACAATGAATTTATGTCTTTTCAGAAATGTACTCTACTAGTAAATTTCACATTTTTCAAGACATTCCCATTTCCACAATATCAGTTATTATTTCAAATTATAAGTAAAGAACATTTGTATTTACCTCTCTGTAAAAGAAGTCTGCATGCCCTTCCTGGTTCGTAAATGTTTGTGAATGACCTCCAGAACTTAACATTTAAATTACAAAAGAGAGCAATGGAATATAATTGTAAAATGTCAATCAACAAAAATAAGGCTGTGGATTTCCGGAGTAAACATCCCATTTGGAAAAAAAATAGTAATAAACATCACTATCGAACAAGTATTCAACTTCCAATATTTATGACGCTACATAGCATATCTTAATGACATTGATGTACAACAAAAAATATCTAAATTTCAGGCTATCTGCGATACTATCAAATAAACGTTGGGAAAGAAAGTTCGAAAAGAGACCAAACTCAAGCTTCATAAAACAATGGCCATGCCTACTCTTCTGTATGGATGCGAAACATGGGTAACAACACCTAAAGAAAACAAGAATTAATGCTGAAGAAATGAGGTTTCTGAGATATGTGAAAGGATGCACATTAATGGACCATGTCAGAAATGATATAAGAGAATTGGGAATTACCAGAAAACAAATACATATAGAAAAAACTGGATTTACAAAAAAAAAGGACATTGAGAGATTGCCCAAACATGCCTATTGCCATCTCCCAAAAACCAAAAGAGAAGTAGGATGAACAAAGAAGAGCTGGTCTTCTCTGGTGACGACATTGCCAGAACATTCTAGATCAGCCTTACCCATGCTGGTGATGATAAAAAATCATATAAGTTCAAAGTATATACTGGAAACATCAATTCTCTCAGAAATTTCCCTCCATAGCAAATGCATTAGTGCATTTTTCATGCAACCAATCTTTACACAAATCACATTGGATCCAGTCTTCAGCTGAGGGAACTTCGAATTCTATTTCGCAAACAGGGCATAGCCTTATCGAAGTATTTTCAATGGAACTGGTTGATTATTCTTTTTTTTTATCTCACTTATTTGTGGAGTTGCAAAGCAATTGTTGTGTGCTGTTCAGTACAGATGACGATGGCTCTAGTGAGTGATTTATGATTTGATTACATGACTTTCTACTTCAGGATCTTTTCATTTAATCCCAACTCATTTGTCAGAGTAGCAAAAGAAATGGATCTGTGACCTGTGAAGAAAGGAAGACTTTCTCCCCATATTTCAATTTGTTAATGAGATCAATGCCATAGACGTCAAAAGCTTTCTCCACCTTTTCAGTCATTCAATTCAAAAATACAACTTTTAATTGTGATGACTGTAATTTGTCTACAGATGTGGCATATGCTGATAAAACATTTAAACACTCAAAACACATTGATCTCTTATCAGGAGCAGATATTTTCTTTAACATTCTACTCCCCAGGTTGTTCTGTCAGATCTGATGGCAATTTTCCTGTCCTTCAGGAAACCCAATTAGGCTGGATTGTTGCAGACAAATCCCCAATGCCCCCTGCCTCCAAATTTATCTGTAATTTTATACAGCCCCAATCTAAATTAAACTGTGAAGTAGATGGTTATTACCAATCCAAGCTGACCACTCCTCACAGATCAATGACTTAAATGGAAAAGGTCACTGTTTCACACCTCTCTCTCTCTCTTAACTAATTATATCGCCTCTATTCTAAGCAGTTCTGAACTAATTGCTCCAATAATTGTAAATGTACAACCTACTAAATTATCAGTCTCATTACTAGAGCTCCTCAGCTGATTCATGTAACAAAATGTTTAAATAATGAATATATTAATTAGTCGATTTCCCACTTGATCGACATGCTGGGTCGATCTCCCACTTGATCGACTTGCTGAGTCAATCCCCCACTTGATAATATAAATATAAAGATATTAATATATAGACTTCAAATTTTAAAAAAGTGGTGAAATAGCGGTCTGGCGAGGTGTATCCTGACTCCAACGCCGCAACAAGCATCGAAATAAGGAAGTATGACTTATCCCAGCTTACTTGGTAAGTTATTTTGATATAAAATAAATTTGTTATATTTGTATAATTTTGAAGGGAATAAATAATTCCTGGTGAGTCATTTCATACAGACTACGTAAACGAATAAAGGGTAAGGAAAACAAATAAGCAATAAGTGGATGTCACCAATGTGTAATTTTGTATCTTCACAATATGGCTTTTTCTTACCGGGAGTTCTCAAGGCTGCCCCGCCGGCTTCAAATCCTTTTTTTATTGATGTCACAGTTCGAACAGACTCTTCAGTATAGTTTACTACCCGAAAATTGATGCTATGCAGAGTGTGTTGAAGAACGCCCGAATTATTTTCTTTGTCACATTTCTTAATAACGAGACATATATTTTCCCTAGCTTAACTGTGTATTGTTTGGCCTTTACTACGAACAGAAGCCATACCTTCTCACCAGAAGTCACAAACCAAATAAATGAATACGCTATACACTTGTGTTCGAACAGAAGTAAACAACATGTCACGTCAATCTGTGAGTTCATGTCTTCTCAGAACAAAAGAAAATCTATATTAGTATGAAGTGAGTATTCCACCTCACTATACATGTTGTCAAAGCCAGGTAATACTATTTCCTCGACTGCTCCGTAGGCGGCAGAATTGCAAAAACACGTCAAATGCTGGAATACTTCGGCGAGTGCTTTTGTGTCTACCTCGTATGTACGACAGATGACTAATATTTAAATATCGTAGTTTATTAAAGTTTTGAAATATATCTTACTTTGTTGCAATTACATGAATTTTCCTTCACTATTCAGAGAGGATTATTGTCAACTTGCCGCTTGCGAAAATGACGGCGGTCAAAATCGTTACCACTAGTGTGAACACTTTTCAGTTTTAAACGTCAAAGTATTTGTGAGACCGCAAACATGTGAAAGTGGCTTTTAGATTGCTTAGCAGCGTACTAAAACGTTCCGATTTATAGAGGATACTGCACTGTAATTCAAGTACAAAATGGTCAATGAATTGAGTGTTTGTAAACATTTCTTTCAATTAAAAAGTGCACCACTCTTCAGTGCAAGAAGTCGCAGAGACAACCACTAATTTTTCATAATTTACATTTTTCATGTCACAAACATCGTGTACTAACTTTTAGAATTAGGTTGAACAGTCACAAAAGCTTTGTGTTATCTCTTTTTATCTGGCTGTTAGTCTGTACAACAAAGATTGTGAAAGTATTGCATGTCTGTCCTAGCGACTCCGATCTCACAGTCACGCCTTGATTTCGGTGCTTTTGAATAAATGTGAAATATAATAATAATAAATAATAATAATAATAATAAATAATAATAATAATACTGATAATAATAATGATATAATAAGATAATAATATAATATAATACAATATACTACACAGAAAATTTTATCTCTGTAGATAACTTCGGCTACATGCCTAAAAAACAAGAATTCAAAACTTAAATTTCCTTTTAGTTTACGCAGTAAACACTTTCCCCAATTTAAAAAAGTAATTGCAGCTCGCGTCATGAAAATTCAAGTCTCTCCTTGTCGCGTACGTAGAGTTGGCGAGCTTCGCCGGAACAAGGCCTTCACCAGTGTTGCGGTCGCTTGATCGAGAGCGCGGTAGTCACAAGCCCATTTCGGAAACCGCCTTCGGCGAGCGCAGCCGATGATAATTTGTCGAGCAAACGATTCCCTCACTTGCCTCGTTTCACCAAATGGAAGAACGGGAATGTTCTGTGTGTCTGTCGGTCTGTGTGTCCTGTCGATCTGTGCGTCTGTCGATCTGTGTGTCTGTCGGTCTATGTTACTGTCGGTCTGTGCGTCTGTGCTTCTGTCGGTCTGTGTGTCTGTCGGTCTGTGTGTGTGTCTGTCGGTCTGTGTGTGTATCTGTCGGTCTGTTGAGTGTCTGTCGGTCTGTGTGTGTCTGTCGGTCTGTGTGTGTCAGTTTGTGTGTCGGTCGGTCTGTGTGTCTGTTGGTCTGTGTGTCACAGAGCAAGTCGATCGATTGAAGGATCGACCCAGCAAGTCGATCGGGTGAAGGATCGACCCAGCAAATCGATCAAGTGGAAGATTGACTCAACAAGTCGATCCAGTGGGAGATCGACCCAGCAAGTCGATCAATTGAGGGATCGACCCAGCAAGTCGATCAAGTAAAGGATCAACCCAGTAAGTCGATCAAGTGGGGGATCAACTCAACAAGTCGATCAAGTGGAACATCAACCCAGCAAGTCGATCAAGTGGGATATCGACTCAGCAAGTCGACCAAGTGAGAGATCGACCCAACAAGTCGATCAAGTGGAACATCAACCCAGCAAATCGATTAAGTGGGAGATCGACTCAGCACGTCGATCAAGTGGAACATCGACCCAGCAAGACGATCAAGTGGGGTATTGACTCAGCAAGTCGATCAAGTGAGAGATCGACTCAGCACGTCGATCAAGTAGAACATCGACCCAGCAAGACGATCAAGTGGGGGATCGACTCAGCAAGTCGATCAAGTGGAAGATCGACCCAGCAAGTAGTTCAAGTGAGAGATCGACCGAGCAAGTCGATCAAGCGGGTAACCTATCCAGCAAGTCGAACAATTGAGGAATCGACCCAGCAAGTAGATCAAGTGAGAGATTGACTCAGCAAGTCGATCGAGTGGGAGATCGACCCAGTAAGTCGATGAAGTCGGAGATCGACCCAGCAAGAGGATAAATTGAGGGATCGATCCAGCAAGTCGATCAAGTGAAGGGTCGACCCAGCAAGTCTATCAGTAGTGTATTGACTCTACAAGTCGAAAAAGTGGAACATCGACTCAGCAAGGCGATCCGGTGGGAGATCGACTCAGCAAGTTGATCAAGAGTAAGATCGACCCAGCAAGTAGATCAAGTAAGATATTGACTCAGCAAGTCGATCGAATGTGAGATCGACCGAGTAAGTCGATGAAGTCGGAGATCGACCCAGCAAGTAGATCAATTGAGGGATCGATCCAGCAAGTCGATCAAGTGAAGGATCGACCCAGCAAGTCGATCAAGTAGAGTATTGACTCTACAAGTCGGACACGTGGCACATCAAATCAGCAAGTCGATGCGTTTGGAGATCGACTAGCAAGTCGATCAAGTGGAAGATTGACCCAGCAAGTCGATCGAGTGGGAGATGGACCCAGCAAGTCAATCAAGTGGGAGATCGAATCAACACGTCGATCAAGTGGGGGATCGACCCAGCAAGTCGATCAAGTAGGGGATCGACACATCAAGTCGATCAAGTGGGGGATCGACTCAGCAAGTCGATCAAGTGGAGGATCGACTGAGCAAGTCGGTCCTGTGGGAGATCGAACCAGCAAGTCTATCAAGTGGGAGATCGACCGAGCAAGTCGATCAGTTGAGGGATCGACCCAGCAAGTCGATCAAGTGGGGGTCGAATCAACCGGTCGAGCAAGTGGGGAATTGACCCAGCAAGTCGATCAAGTGGGGAATCGACTCAAGTCGATCAAGTAGGAGATCTATCCATCAAGTCGATCAAGTAGGGGATCGACCCAACAAGTCGATCAAGTGAGAGATCGACCAAGCAAGTCGATAAAATAGGGTTCGACTAAGTAAGTCGATCAAGTGAGGGATCGACTCGACAAGTCGATAAACTGGCGGATCGACTCAGAAAGTCGATCAAGTGGAGGATCGATTCAGCAAGTCGGAGTTCCTGTGGGAGATTGACTCAGCTAGTCGGTCCAGTGGGAGATCGACCCAGCAAGTCGATCAAGTGGGAGATTGACCCAGCAAGTTGATCAAGTGGGGGGCGAATCAACCGGTCGAGCAAGTAAGGAATCGACCAAGCAAGCCTATCAAGTGGGGGATCGACTCAACATGTCGATCAAGTAGAACATCGTCTAAGCAAGTCGATCAAGTAGGAGATCCACTCAGCAAGTCGACCACGTGACGGATCGACCCAGCAAGTCGATCATTTGGGGGATAGACTCAGCAAGTCGATCAAGTGGGAGATCGACCCAACACGTCGATCAAGTGAGAGATCGACACAGCAAGTCGATCAAGTGGGGGTCGAATCAACCAGTTGATCAAGTGGGGGATCGAACTAGCAAGTCGATCAAGTAGGGGATCGACGTAGCAAGTCGATTAAGTGGGGGATTGACTCAACAAGTCGATAAAGTGAAAGATCAACCAGCAAGCCGATCAAGTGGGGGATCGACTCAACATGTCGATCAAGTGGAACATCGACTAAGCAAGTCGATCAAGTAGGGGATCCACTCAGCAAGTCAATCACGTGAAGGGTCGACTCAGCAAGTCGATGAAGTGGGGGATCGACTCAGAAAGTCGGTCCTGTGGGAGATCGACTCAGCAAGTCGGTCCTGAGGGAGATCCACCCAGCAAGTCGATCAAATGGGAGATCGACCCAGCAAGTCGATCAAGTGAAGGATCGACCCAGCATGTCGATAAACTGGGGGACCGTCCGTAAGGTCGACTGTCTGTCCGTCAGGCCGACTGTCAGTCCGGCAGGCCGACTGTCCTTTCTTAAAGCCGACCGTCCGTCTGTGAGGTCGGCCGGCTGGCCGTCAGGCCGATCGTTAGTCCGTCAGGCCGACCGTCCATCAGGCCGGCTGTCCGTCCGTATTCATGCGACCGTCAGTCAGTCCATCCGTCCGTCAGTGCGTCCGTCAGTGTGTCCGTCAGTCCGTCAGTCAGTCCGTCCGTCAGTTCGTCCGTCAGTCAGTCCGTCAGTCAGTCCGACCGTCAGGCGGTCCGTCCGTAAGTCTGTCAGACAATCTGTCCGTCCGTTAGTCTGTCAGTCGATTAGTCCGTCCGTCCATCCGTCAGTCCGTCCATCCGTCAGTGCCCGAGTGCGGGCGTTAGTCTGGACGCAGGTCTCGGAATGCACCTAGCCAGCGGACATTCGTTGTACACGGCCAAAACAAATTAACGAATGTGTTTGCCGTCCGGCCGATCTCCAGCGCGGGAGGCACTTTACGTGAACGCTATAGTAAGTTAGCGGGAAAATCGCTTGCGGATTCCATAACGAATGAAGTCTTTCGTGCTGATGCTCATTTGTCCACCCATGCGGTTTGTGCTCGCAAGCTCGCTATGCGAGTTGTGTCTCTCGCCATAGGACTTACAGCCCTGAAGCGCGACCCGAAATAAGATGAAAAATTAATTGTTCAAGCAATCAATGCAAAATACTATCTTTGGCTGGTCTCAGAGTGAAGGAGGGAATACTTTAACATGGACAGACATCATTCTAAGCAAGCGTTATGTTAAAACGCGAGTAGAAAGCACAGAGGCAGAATCTTTATAGAAATGAAAGATTGTAGAACCAGAAAACAGTTCATAAACCATCCTTGGAATAGAGGAGAAAGATGTCATGAGTCATAAAGTTTCAACTCTTGTTAATTTGTTAATATGAGCATAACTGCGCCATCGCAGGCCCAGTACCCATGAAGCTGAAAAAGGATATTGTTATTTCTTATTTTTTACTGAAATTATTTGCCAGAGCTAAAAATAATCTTAGACGTAGCACCGCTTTAACCGCCGGGCCTGGCCGTGCCACCGCGCTGACAGAGGGTCCACAATGGGCGGGTGGGTGACGCAACGGCGCAGAAAAGGAAGTGGGGGGGGGCAAGTGTTTTCGTAAATTTCACTTTACGACGCTCCTATTCGACCGATTTGAATGATTATCACGGCGTTGGATTAAGGAAGCATGTCGCCATCGCGGTATAAGCCCACATTTTTAAATTTGTAAAGAAGTTTGAGAACTAATTTCAAATTCGCGTTTTTGCTAGATTTTTGGAAAAAGGTCATCGTAGCCTAAATTCTATTTTAAAAAGGCGTCAAATGCCATTTAGAGATCGAAAATCGGACCATTGGTTCAGACGTTATCGGTCAAGTAAAGTTTACTTATTTTGGTGCTGCCACGTGGTGGCTACAAATTGTACTAGTGTCGTGACATTTAGCCTTAAAGCTGTAAATGTGATTTTCTTATACTCAGTGTTTTTCGTGTTTCAATTATGTCTTGCATTTGTTTTAGATTAAGTTTGTACATATTCTCCTTGCTCTTAGTTGTAATTCCAAGAACGTGTAGGTTAGTCATCAGGGTTTTACTTTCACGTGTCCATTTTATTCTTTAGCATTTTTCAGCTTAAGTAGGTTAATTTAGGGTTTAGTCAGTTTCTTTATGTGTCATTTATAACTAGAGAAAATTATGTATGCCTTGTCTTTTAGGATTTAGGTTCAATTTCATTGTTTATTCAATTACGGCTTACTTTGTTTGACTTATGTATGCCTCATTCATTTGCACAAATTCTCATTTTGTTTACGGTGAGAAAATTTATGTTGTTTCTTTTCTGCCAGAGTAGTGCCCAGCTCATCACTCCAACGGCACAGGTTAAGCAACCTCCCCGATTAAATTTCTTGTCACACATTCATTTACACGGAGAAGGTTTGTACTTTCTCGGCCACAGAGTGCTGCCTAGCTCAGTATCTCCCACGGCCACAGGGCCACTGCGACCTCCCAACTGATCACACACCATTAATAATTCTTTATTGTGTCTTTTCGTTTAAATTATCTCATTATGTCATTATTAGGGAGGCTGCTTAGGCACTTGCCAGAACCAACATCCTCCAACTTCCCTCTTTACACTAAAAATTAAGAAAAGGGCGGACTCTCTCATAAGACATATTGTCTTTTCCCCCTCTCTATAGAGAACGCATAAGCGTTACTTAGTGTACATTTTGTACATAGATTAGTTATGAGGCTATACTTTGCTCTGTCTTCAGTGAAGCCGGATTTACCTACAAGCAAAACAAGCAGCACAGCACTGCATGCTCGCTCTTCTGTTACGCAGAAGACTTTCCCCCACCTTCGCCCATTATATGTTGAAGATTGTATATTACTCCCTAATGCCACACGCCATTGGGGCCTTTCCAATCAATTACATACAGCAGTGCAATCCTTTCTATTAATTGAGTTAATTTAATTTATTGTTATTAAACCGCCTGTTCCACCATCCTTCTTTGTCAAAAACCGTACATTTTCTGTGTGAGTGTACAATAGGAACAAGCTTCCTTTGTATATATAGTCACACATAGAAGCACATACTTAGTTTTATAAGAGCACATTTTTAGTACAAATTTAGCATGGACGACAAATTTAGCACGAATTATTTAATTGTATAATTGTATTCTGTTATGTGATATTCTTGTACGCAATGCTTCGACCTACGCCTTTACGCAATATTTTGCAGCTGGAAACTGTGCAACACCGCGATATTCATGCGGCGCCCACAGCAATCACCTCCCCCATTCATTAGAACGAAGCAGTAACGAAATGTAAAGTTGAACATTAACTGAACTTTGTAACGTCATCCAATACATAAATAAATATAACAAAACAAAACTTTTTGGGCTCAAAGTGTAACAGATGGTTACAATGATATCACAGGAATAACACACTGCATTTATTTTAATGCAGAATACGTTATGTCGTTTCATTTAGGAGTCTCATCTCTTGTATGCGTGCTTGATATTGTCTACGACGTAAAAGTCATTTATTTGCAATACAATATTTTTAAACTATTTTTATGGAGGGAAAAAAGTAGAAAGGTAAATGAGAATAAAACATAACATACTTCTGTAGAAAAATAATTTATTCATAAGAAAATGTGTTCAAGAATAAGCAGCACCGTACATTTCGATCTTCCGCTCCAATATGTAGCGCTGTTTTAGTAAAAGTATTTATTGACGTAGAAAATAGGAATGTATGTACAAATTGGCAGCGATGCGATTCGCTCAGAATGTATGGGTCGAAGGTCATCGGCAGCCGTACATCTTCTCCAGCTTGAGGATGTCTGAAGAGCTGAAGCCACTGTTCTGTCCGATTGGTCGCTGCAACAGAGAACACATTGCTTGTCTTTGGGGTCCCGTGAACGCGCCAAGCGCTTAGCGAGGCGGACATGCTCACCGGGGCGACGATGGTCTTTTGTCCGTTCTTGCTGAAGGCGTAGGCGTCGTAGTGCATTATGCTGCCCGTATCGTACGTCCACGCCAAAGTCTGATGACGCTGGCGCTGTAACTTGTCCCGAAGTTGTGCTCCATGCCTGCCGGGCCCAGCGCGGGTGACGGTTATGTGCACTTGAGAGTGTAGGGAGGCGTGCGGCACAGGGGGTCGGGTACGTACCACATTACTGGATGTTGCCCCAAACTGGATGGTGACCTGTAGACGGCTCTCCGTGATAGTCTCTGTCCTGGGTGGTGTATAGCCCACGCGTGCAGGAACTCGTGGAATGGCACGGTGCCCTTATAAAAAACACTCCGCAGCGTTTAGCGCTCAAGTTCAACCACCTGGGCCTAGGCAAGACACGAAGGCACGTAAGATGAGAAGAGAAAGAAAAGAAGAGAAAAGAGGAAAGAAAGACGAGCAGAAGAGAGAGAAGAGACAGAAGAATGAAAGAGGAGAGAGAGAGAGAGAGAGCGAGAGAGAGAGAGAGAAAGGATGAGTGGACGGCGCCTACCCCGCCCTGCGCGCCCACGTACGACCAGCAGCCCGTGTTGTCGCCCTTGATCCAGATGTAGCGCGAGTCGCCGCTTCGGTAGGGCCGCATGGTGACGCAGGTGCGCGCGTTGTAGTCGGCGACGGCGCTCTCGATGACTGCGCGCTGGGCGGCCGCTGCAAGCCAAGGCGAGTAAGTGGGCGTGGCCCGGGGGCCGCGGAGCGTGGCGCGGGCTACTCACTGAAGGTGGGGTCGATGTAGTAGGGCATGACGCGGTTGGGCCAGCGCGCCGCCGCGGACAGGAGGCCGTTGCGGGCTGACGCGTTGGCGGGCAGCATGATGTCGCCCTGGAAGTAGCCGCTGTCCTGCCAGCGCCCGGCGCCGCCCCCGCGCCCGCCGTCGCCCCAGTCGCCGTCGTGGTGCAGGAGGTCGTGGCCGGCGTGGCGCGGCGCGGGCGGCACCGCGTCTGTGCACGCGCTCAGGGCGCACAGGGCCAGACTGAGGGCTGCGGTCAGAGGCTGCATGGCGCGGACTGGCGCTCGATCGCTCCAAGCGCTCTTTTATGTGCACGCACCACCTGATACGCTCTTTCGAGTGTCCAAAGATTTAAGTTATATTTTTACACACAGTGGGTTTATCTTCGACAACCTTGCACATAGCCTTGCAAAATATCTGGCCTTGCCAAAGTGTTATTGGGATAAATCCGTGATTAATTATATCGTATTATTGTAAATCAACCTGAACGAAAATTGAGAGAGATATTTTGAAGTTCCTGGTTCCGTGCGTGTTATTCGATGTCTGCACACTTTTTTATTCTATACAAGTAAATGTATGGTTTAATGTTTGATACTAGTTCTCTTAAATCACTGTTTCCATAATGCTCGTATAATTTTCTATCAACCGTTAACTCTCTATTAGATTCGTAGGAGCAGTGGAGTGAATTGTGGACATAGCATATTTGCCCTCCACTTCTACTTCCTGAAGCTAATCAAGAAAATACTCAACTAACTCAGACAAGCTAACTCAAGAAAAGAATGATCACTACTGTTCTTTGTATCTCAGTAAGTAATCTAATAAATTAATTTGGTGATTGTCCACTCTGCAGCTAAGAAAAAGAATGTGAAATACCATACATGAAATGGAAGTAAATAGGAACTCATACGTTTGAGAATAAGAAAATTAATATTCAAATTATTATTTCATTGGACATGTATTAATAGATTTGAGTTAATATACAATTACAATGAGTATTGTTACCTAAATTCATCGATTGGTTGTTATCATGACTCGTCATATGAATGAAATTGACTTAAACAATTAAAAAATAAGTTGAGTCTTACGGGATCAATTAAAACTGATATTTCATGAAAGAGATAATATTCAAACTACATAGTTCATGAGATTATAGTAAATATTTCCAATGACACCAATAAACATTTAAGACATTGATTGTCTATAATTGTAATTGTCTTACATGACTCCAAATTATTATATTATTTGATTGGATATATTTCGTCAAGGAATAATAAAACTAAATGCGACGTATGAGGGAAAAGTACAATCTGCGCATGTATTATAGAGTTCCATATAGAGAACCTCTTCCCCACCTTTGTTCCCAAACAATTAGTTGATGTTCAGATAAAATATAGTTAAACATGAGATTGAAACTGTGTCACTACCTTTGCTAAATAACAGGAATGTTGCAATTAATTTCAACCTTGAGAGCAATTGAAAAAGTAGTAAATAGATGTGCATTTATTCTGTAACCTGAGGGTAATTGGAAAACGTAGAACCATACGAGAGCATATACCGTTTCCTTATTGACATCTCGAACGACCGAACGGATGTAGCGAACAGCAGTTCCGTTCGATACGCATCGTAAGCAATTCTCTGGGTGGGCATTGGGGACCTAATCAGCCTCTCGGGCCGATGAGTATTCAGAAGTTGGACGGGAACGAAAGAGTAATTTGGGATACAATTTTTCTCTGTCCCTTCTCCCTTGTTCTTTTACAAAAATTTAAATTCCTCGTTAGTAGTACTTGTTCGTTTCGAGGCAAACTGCGAAGATTGAAATCTTCGGGAGAAGAGACGGAAGTGTTGGTCGAGGCAGGCGTGGAGCAAAGAGCAAGGTCGGGAGGAATACCTGAGCCTAGTGCTGATAGCGATCAGGGCCGCCAAGAGGAGAACTGTATTGCTAAGGCGATAATTCGCGGCAAAACGCCGGCCCTCCAGGAGATGGTCAAGTGGCTCTTAAAACAATTCTCTCTTCTCTGTACAAAGCAAGGAAAATGTGTTTTTTTTCTGTTTTGAATTGAAGGGCGAGCAATTAAATTGCTGAACATTACGAACGTCTGCTTTGAAGAAGGTCAAGATAAAATTATTTTCTCATACAAGTGCTTGAGAAATTTACAGATATGATAAGAATGTCGAGAGAAAGAATGTCGATATTACGTACCTCGTATTTTCTGCTTTTACAAATGAGTTTGAGAAGACAGTAGATGGATTTTATTGCAAAAATAATTGGAATTACACTAGTATCGTCAATCTCCTGCATAAATGAAACAAAACTCTCCAAATGCTGTTTTCGGAAAAACTCGCGCATGTATCATAATCTGGTATCGAAAATAAGAAACTGCGCATGAATTTCAAGAAGAAATTACTCGAAAACTACTTGTTTTGTTTTTCAAAAAATTGTAGATCTATTTTAAAGATATAGTTTTTAGAACAGATTTTAGTTAAGAAAAAATCTCTTATCTTCAATTTTGTATTTTTGTGATGTTAGTCTGTTTCAATTTTCAAAAATAACAAAAATAAAGAGAATTCTTCGAATATGGAGCCTGCACTATTTTTACTGTTATTTGATACAACGAGGAGAAAATTTAATGAATAAATTTGGAGCAGTTTTGGAGAAAATAGTTTAAACATTGCTAATATTTCAACAAAAATTACGTGAAACCTGCTATATTTAAGGGTCTGTTTTTGATGAACAGTTTTTTTTAATTCCTAACATATAGGATTTTTCCTATAAAATGGGAGATGTGCAACCGTGTACCTAAGAACGAGCCACCACTGCTACACTAAGTAACTAGGTTTATCCACTTTTTCGTTACCACGACCAGACAATGCGACTTTGTTGTTCTTAGAAAAATCGCCGATTTCCGACGCAGCATTACTACTTTCTCTTCACTACGTAAGTATTATAAAGGCGAAAACGTAAAGAAGCTGGGTTCCGTCGCTAATTCCTTATTGGTATACGACTCTTAAAATTATTACTTGATTAGGGCAAACAACGCTTATAAAAGTGGCATAGTTAATGACAATTCCCATTAAAACCTATGGCTATTCGAAAGTTTAAAATTCGTTAGACTTCCTTCTACAATTACATTATACTTAATAGATATTGTCTCATAAATTTGTGCTTGAAAATTTGATCTTTAATTAAATCGACATTTTTTATATATCAGTAGTTTCGTGTATTTTAATAAAATTGTGAAAATTATTATAAGAATAGAACATAAACAAAATTATGTGAAAACATGAAAATTTTGTCTTAAAATTAGTGGGTCGATTACAGCAAAGTTTGCTTAATGGTGGGGCATACCTTATCATTCATTAAATTCTCTGGAATTTCGAAAATTGGAAATGTTGGCACCGGTCTTACTTTCTCACTATTGGAGCTACGAATGACTTAATTCAATCTATTGGTCAATAATAGCTATATAAATCATTTAAAGTATTTCTTTCAAAATATGAGCAGTTTTTGCTTAATTTTGAGTTATATTGTTTGAAGTTTTCAAGTAATCACTGAAGTGATAGTAATAGCTCATTGAAAATCCTCACGAAATATAGAGAAACACTCTCGTGAATATGATAGAATAAGAAGAACAACAGGGTTTTAGATGCGGTAGATAATGCACTGACGCAATTTGTTGATACAAATTGCTTCCAACGACGTAAATTTCCATCCGACATAGTCAAATCTTAATTTTCATTTAAACAATTATTTTTCAAAAACAGATCCATCGTTTTTTATGAAATTTTGTTGGTGGATAGTCTACAGAACGTATAAGAAAATGGTACAGATCTCATGTTAGTTGACAAGCCTGATTTTTCGAAAATTGAAATAATTTAAAATTTGTTCGGCGTCTTCCTACAACTACAATGTTCAACTACAAATACAATGTTCCTACGACAAAAAATGTATCTTTATAAGATGATACATTTTTTCTTAATAAAATGTGTTGATCAAAACAGATTTTTAAAAAAGGTCATGTTGAATGGTTCGAAAATATGAGTATTTTTGGAGTAACAGGGCTTCAAACGTAATCGCCCGCTCCTGTGTAATTAATTTCATATTTCTTTGTTCGTTCCTTACATTGGAGCTTTTGTTATAACGTTTACAATTTAATCTTTTAGAAATTATTTAAACCCTATTTGAAGTATATATGAAATAATGATTACTAGCCTTTAGCCGCTCTCAATTTACGCAGTTGGATGCTATGTTAAGTTACTGCTCGTTGTGTATATTTTACGAATTTTATTCCCGCCTGTTATATGGCATAATATTTGGGGAAATACATCTTATAGCTCCCAGACTTTTAGATTACGAAAAAGAATTGTACGAATAATAAGCAAACCCCACGCACGTGATTCTTGTAAGCCTCTCTTTATTAATCTAGGTATTTTCCCATTACCGTGTCTCTTTATATATGAATCAGTGTTGTTGTTTTTTGTCAAAAATGACTTACTTAAGGGCGGGAATATATTTTTAGCAAAAGCTGATGTCTATAACTACAACCCTGACGTAGTAATCGTATTGATCAGATGACAGTATCAACAGCACACTACCAAAAAATTCACACACAATACAAGTACAATATTTTACAACGCCTCGCCAGATGAAACAATTATTCGACGAAACATTAAACGATTAAATTCGATAGAAAAGTTTAAGTCCCAAGTAAAATATGTTCAGCTGCACAACTGTTTATATACAATTAAAGACTATATCGAGCATCCGAAAGGAAAGGAAACCTGAATATAACTGAAGTATTGTTATTCAGCTTTTGGGTCAATGACTCCCATATCGATCAGATTTTCGTCCAGTTTCCCTGATCCTTGAGCAAATGCTCAGATGACCTCGTTTTGCTTCTGGACATAAACGTAATTCAGTTTAACTTCTCTCCATAGCACATCACACAGTTTTTAACTGTCTCTGACGTAAATAAATAAAGTTAGAATTTGTATATTATTTTATTTATTATATTTATATTATATTATTTCATTTTGAATTGCCTTCTTTAATTATGTTAAAGGCGAAAACGAATAGATGAGCGGTCATTGTTGGTTGTTTTTACCCATTGGTGAAACGCCGCACAGATAACAGAAAACGATAATGACGGATGCTTTTTGTCCGCGGTAATGAAAACGCATACTGTGATTTTTTTATATTCCACTAACTTAATTTCCTAACTAATTTTTTAATCATGCCCCTAAGTTGGGCAGACATTTGTGATATTTCTTT